CGTTTAGGTACCATTTCCAGTTTTGTTGAGAGGCTGAGGTGGGGTTAGTGCCTGGACTCTCAGGCTGGTTTTCCTTGAGCCCATACAGAGCCATTTTGCTGTTCAGTGAGATCTGTCACTGCTGTGCCGCACCAGTTCGCCCCAGAGCTTAGTGTGGATTTGGTTCGGTGTTGCACCCTGGCTCCACCAGGAAACAGCTTCTAAAATTGAGCTGTGGTTCATTTGTTTCCCTACTGGACTTCTCTCTTTAGCTAGCCTTTGATGCAGGCCTAATTATTCTCAGTAGGTATGTGCCGTCTTGGATTTCCTATAGTTAGTAAGATAAAGTTCCCAGCACCCTGGAACCAAAATTTTTCATTTTGTCTTCTCAAGTTTTGTACGTGATTTGGAGCAGATTTGTAAGACCCTGGGAAGGGAGGAGTAGAGTTTGGCTGCTGAACTGAGATTCTCTCCTCTGTTCAGGGCTATCCCGGGCTGTGTTCTAACACAGCTGTTTAGTTACTAGTCTCCTTGCCATCCTTTTAATAACTCCTTTTTTTGTAAGAAAGATCTGCTGCTTGCTTTCACTCTCGGAGACCTCCATGCCTAGTGGAACTGTCTTTGTGATCTCTCACAAGAATGTCTGGTGGTCAATATCTGCTTCCAATCAGTGCATCATGACGGCAAACATTTCTCACTCAGTACGCTTCCAGTTCTATTTGTGCTTCCTCACAAGCCACCCTCATACTCTTGGAATTCTTCACATACATCCATCACTATATGTACTTGATGTCTTTCAGTTCCCCTTTAAAAGTCTCATTTTTCTACAAAACCTTGATGACTATGTATAGACTGCTGGCTGCTGTTTGGTCATTGTTTCCTTCTAAGCTGCTATCAGTCAGTCATCTGGCTGTGTTTCTTCATAAGCTTTTGGGTGCAGAAAAAGGAGAATCGGATTTCTTTTCGTCTCTATGCTTATAAAGCTCTATATATGACGGAATTATTAAACTTTCTAGGCTGTACACATGGTAAGCACATTGAGTGACAATATGGCACATCGCTCTGCAGAGCAAGTTAACCTTACACATTCAAATGCTCAGTTGTAGTAAATGAACATAGCTCCTTCCAGCTGAATGCAACTCTGGCCCAGGGTATTTGCCTTCTCACTTATTATTTTTAATATTGGTCCAGGTGATAGCAGTTTAAATAAAGTACTGAACTCATCTGTTTTATTCTTAATTTATAGTGGTGCTTAGGGGATGTGCAGATATTTAAAAAGAGTAAAATCAATTAACTTGTGATCCAATTATTTGTGTTAGCCACTGTGGGGTTTTATTTTAGAGCACTGGATCAGACTCTCACAGTTAAGCACCGTGCCTTGGGAATATAAACCTCTCATTTTGAAATATGATGAACCGATGGTTATATTTTCTCTATTTCCAAATCTAACTCCTATTTTTCTCCTTTCATAGTTTTTAAATTCCCTTCTTGTCTTTTGTTTTTAAAAGAGACACAGTATAAATTGAATAGATTTTTCTAAGTACTACTAAGTCTATTCCTTATGTAAAGGTGGCTGAACAGACAAGAGAGTTCGCCTTCTAGATAACATATACTATATTTATAAGGACCTCTCTATTTCCAAAATCTGTGATATATTACATTTTTCACATTCTAAATTTTGAGTAGACCCATGTGACAACCTATGTGATATGATCATTCTGGTTTTTCATCCATCTTGAACAGATTTTGGTCTTCAAATATCCTCTGTTTATATGGTCATCTCTAAAACACAAAAAATGCTAGGGGTGGGTCTACCACTGTGCTTGGAAATATTTGGCTTGGCATAGCCTTTGCCTGTAGACATTGTCATCTCCTTAATCTGCAGGTGTCAGAAACTCTGCGGTTGCATGCCCCCAACAAATCTGTGTGCCCTTTCTGCACTAACTCACTGCACTTGAAGCTACTGAGACCCTTTCATAAATAAGGAACAAATAAGAATGCAGAAGACAGCCAGCCCCAGCTGAGATACCTCTGAATTAGATATCCTTAAACTGACGTTCGATATTTTTTTAAACTAGCTGACACGTTATGGCAACCTTTTCCACCACAGTCTGGCGTTGGTGGGGTAAATGTATGTCACGGATGGAGTGATGCACGTCACTCATCAGAGAGAAGCAGCAACGTATTTGTTGATACAGGACAGGGAGTAAACAAAGTTCAGTAGCAAATGAACATTAGTTAACAAGGTTCAATGGTGAAGTATGCTTGGGTATTTACTGCATAGAAGACAAGGTCAGGAAAAACTATAAGGGGGGACCTTCCCCTTGAGTCATGAGCTTCAGAAGGAATCCTCTTGCATTCTAAACTCCTCGGAGGGGAATTTGAGTGTGGCTGTATCCAGACTTGGTCCCAGACTTGGTTTATGTCTGAAGGATTATAAATTTGTAGTCAATCCTTTATACCATTCTCTAAGATTTGAAAGTTTCAGTGCGTTTATTCCCAATTCACTTATCTGACATGATAAGGATTCTCTCAGCCTCGAGGAGGAGTAACCTTGAGAGGTGTCCCCCTACTCCAGGGGGAGTTCCTGGTGTGCAGCCTGCTGCCGTGCAGGACAGCTCAACAGGCCCTGGGCTGTCCAGTATTTATGGAGTAAGATAATTGACTTATATTCACACACCGACTACAGAGATTAGTTTTTTACAAACTTGTCTTGAGTTCAACATTGACCAGCACTGTAGTTATGTGGGCCCATTGCTCAAATTAGCCCTTGGCTAATCTTGTTGTCTGTCTCCCCAAATCCCCATGACCAGGCACATCCGTTACAACCACCACTGGTGGGTACCATTTGAGCAGGGTCAGGTTGCAGAAGATGAGAGCACACCACTGCAGCATAATAAATTTATCTCACTGGTTTCACAGTTATGTGTTTGAATAACATAGCTAGATCTTTAAATATTTTACCCTAACAGGTCTTACTGTTCCCAAGGTGATCCAGGGACTATTGAACACTTAATTGAATCAGACTAGTAGATTAAGGAAAAGATTTTACAGAAAGATCAATATGAATTAGGAGCAGATGCCCAGTCAAATCTAAGGGTTAGATTCCTTAGGATTAGGTTCCTTTGGAGTCTAGTCACCCTTTTACATGTCTTAATAGGGTCTGGTATTGAACATTTGTTCAGAAATATTCTGGCTGTTGTGATCTGGATTTCTTGTTTTCTAAAAGCTCAAACTGAGACAATATAAAATAATGCAAAAAATATCAATAAGGCTAATTGCTAATTTTCAGTTAGACCAATAAGTTTCCAAGAGTGCTTTCCAGTGACAGCGTTTTTCTGAGCAGGAAGGAACACTCTTGGTAATCATTCCTCTGTTATTTCCAAGATTCTTAATAGAGCTTTTCTTTTGATTTGTTTCAAAGCAAGCAAAAATATTGTTATATCATCATTTAAAGTTAATTAAACTGTAAATGAGCTTAAGGATCTGTCTAAAACAGAGCTCAATCACAACCTGCTACATATTAACTATCAAAATCAAAAGAATCTTTAATTTTTTTGTTAAATATACCAAAGAAGATAGAAATAGCCAATCATTAATGTCATCCTTTTATAAAATCAGATTTGAGGCTGGAAAGCTAAACTGAAAACGTTTGAGAACATAAGTCGAATCTATTTGAAGCAATGAAAAAAAGGTAACTGAACACAAGGAAATACGTGGTTGTCCCCTCTATATTTTACTGTGAAGAAACCCATTTTACCAACTATTTGTCCAGTTTGTGAAATTTGTATAATAATGAAATGCTATTTCCTAGATTCAGTATTCTCACAAAATCTATTGTAGTGTTATGACTTTGTGTGATCTATAAGACGGGGAAAAGACATTTAGTCTATTCAGGTCTTGAAACCACTTGGGTGATTTTTGCCCTTCAGTGATATATCTCCATCGACAACGTAGCTTTTAAGCAATGCACGTGCACCGAAGCCTATTTGTGTTGTTCGAGTTTGTAATTTTGGCCTTTTGAAGGCTTAATCCCTAGAAGTGCTAAGATTTCCTAATGATCTATAATGGTACTGCTGATGTTCAGCACTTCTTAGGATTAGGTATGTTATCTTTCTGGTTTATCCACTATAAAGCAGGTATTATCTTATCACTCTTATATACAGTGCTTTTAGCACGTCAGCCTCAAGTACTTGAAAGGTGAGGAGTATTATTAAGTCTGACCCTTACAAGCTTTTCCAATGGTTTGTTTAATGTTTTTCCTACATAAATAAGAATGGTGTTATACGGTGTTTGTCTGCGTAGTAAATTAGAATTTTCTCATAAGACTTGGCTAGCTGAATAGTACAGCAGTGCAACAGACTGCACAAGGTCACAGAAAAATTCTTCTACTGAAAAAAAGAGAGTAACACTGACTTTTAGTTATGCAGACAAAGTGGTCACATGAGGTTCAATTATTTTTGTGTCTCTTAGAGAAAGCCCTCCAAAAAAACGATATGGAAACACTTTCTGTGAAAGATGTTTTATGTATTGATATAGGTGGGATAATTTATGAAAATCATAGTCTGAAATATTAAAACTAGGTTGTTTTGTAGTTAATGGTACATTTGCGAGAAGGAATAGGAGATATTAGTCAGCTTCCTCTTCTGCTTAGCTATGAATATATTCCCTTTCTGACAGCATACGCACCTATGCAACGCTCTCAGGATTCACTTTTGCAGTACTATGATATTGGCTGTTGTCTTGTGATCAGCATCTTCCAAAGCTTGATTCCTATCACATTGCTGCTTATCTGCCATCTATTAAATGGAGAGCAGCTATAATGTGCTACCTTATATTTCATGAATGAGAATGTATTATTTAGAGCCTAGAACATTCAGTTTCAGTCAAGGATTACATCTTTCTCCTATTGTGGTAAATAATTAATGCTGACTTGGATATTTCACGTGTGTGTGATTGTAATTGAAAACAGTAACAATTTCCTCTATGTGGTTTTGGTGTTGGTTTTTTTTTTTTTCTAGTTTCAAGCCACTGTAAAAGAGGGAGTCACAGGTGTAATAGTAAACTTAACTGTCGGCGACCGAGATGACCCAGCAACCGGAGCATGGAGAGCTGTCTACACCATAATTAATGGAAATCCAGGGCAGAGTTTCGAAATCCATACCAATCCCCAGACGAACGAGGGAATGCTCTCTGTTGTCAAAGTAAGAGCAATTTGCTGTTGTACTGTACTATTGCTATAAGGTCCACCCACTGGATTTACTGCATGCGAGAAGATGCAGCAAGGCTGTTACTCAAAAATATGTAGTTGGCTACCAGCCCTAGTGCAAAAAATCTGTATAACCCCTTCTTCCCTCACAGTAGCCTTCCTTCTTTAGTCGTAAGGACCTGCCTGCTGCTAACTATATTGCCGTTGTGCTTAAATAACAGCTAGTTTTTCAGTAAGCATCACAGTAATGAGACTTTAGAACAAGTTTTGTTTGTGACTGGGCATACAATTAGAATTCAAGGGTCACATTTTGCTCTCAGTTAGGGAAGACAGATATTAATACCAGGAAAATAAGTGATGGGTCTTCAGACTGAACTGGAGAGCCATCTTCAGTCTCCCATTTCTGAAGTCTCATGAAAAAAATTATTGCCTATCTTTTGATGAAGACAATAAAAAAAATATTGCATATCTTTTTATGAAGATAATCCTATATTTCCTATTTGACAAAACTAAAACAACCAAAGAAAATAGCCCTGGTTTCTGCCTATACCAGAATTTTCTCTGATTGACTTCATTAGAGGAATTTTCAATTCATGAGACAAATGACGTGTATTTCTGTGGTGGGGCTTTTGATTTAAAAGTAGGAGTTGTGAAAATAGTCTTATGTTACTTATCATAAGTAGCTACCAAGTATGACTGATTTATTTGCTAAATGCATATAAATAAATAAGCTTGCATGTATGAGAATTAAATTATATATGTGAGATTATGATTATGATATGGCAGGGAAGTTTATGGTCTTGGATAGAGGGACATCTTTATCTTTCATTAAGTTTATTAAGTTCATTATCTACAATCCGCTTTGTAACTACCATTGTGTCTAATGCTAAACTCTGACCAAGATCAGATGCAATGAATGCTGTTGTCCCTTTCTGGCTAATTCTATCTTCTGCAAGTTGGCAATGGGGTGCAAGGAAAAAGTGTTAAGTACTATCTTTGCACTTTGCATTCTGATTTTATATGTTTTACAGCCTTTAGACTACGAGATTTCTGCATTTCACACGTTGCTGATCAAAGTAGAAAATGAAGACCCGCTAATTCCAGACGTAGCCTATGGACCCAGTTCCACCGCAACGGTTCAGATCACTGTTGAGGATGTGAATGAAGGCCCAGTTTTCCACCCAAACCCAATGACAGTGACAAAACAAGAAAACATCCCCATTGGCAGCGTTGTGTTAACAGTAAATGCCACTGATCCTGACACTTTGCAACATCAGACTATCAGGTGAGTGCAGTACCCTATAATTTTCATCCATCAGAAAGAGAGTATGTCTTTTGTGCCTGAGCATTCACCTTCCTAAGGACAGATTTAAATTAAAGTTGTTTGGGCTCTATATAATAAGAGTTAACGATTCTTTTTTCCGCAATGAAGAGATTCAGTACAATGAGAACAAAGAACTGGATTAGGTGGGGGGCACCAGGCTGTGAGATTCCTGCAGTAAAACACTCAAGTGCCATGAACAATGGGCATAGCTTTGCATAGTGTTTCAAAATTACTTTTAACCTGCTTGTTTACTCTTCTTCCTTCATTAGAGCCAGAGAAAATGTGAAAATTGAAAATGTGTAGAGAAGTGACTTCTCTGTTTTACATATGGTTTAAGTCAGTTTATGAGCATTTATAACGTTCCTCAGTGAAATAATGACTGTCCATCATCTTCAAGGGCTGGGAAAATATTTCCCAGTGAAACACAGAAGCGGCAGTAAGCTTAGACTGGGCCTTGTGCAGATAGATGAAAGTAAATTGTTATTTCTCTGCTGTGACAACATCATCCCACAAATTCACTGTGTTGCTAGAAGCAAACCTAAGTATTAAGCAACGTTTTGTGTCTGCAGTAAGCAATGAATACCAGATTGGTGTTGTGTGTGCTGTGTGAACAGTGTGTATCACTCCCAACGAGTTATGTATCTGTTGAAAATGTGCAGTCAGATGCAAACAAAAGAACAATAGAATTAATAACGTTACTTTTTAAATTTATTTTCAAGGTACAACAACTAGGATATGTCTAACTGCAGGGATATTTTTAGTTAGTTTTTTATAGAAAACTTGCAGGAAGGGCTGATGATTATTTGTAATCAGGAAATCTAGTTAGTCTACTAGATATAACATATTGCATTTCAAGAACTATATATAGTGTATAGACACCATTTGTGCCATTGTCCACATTTAGGTTGAATTTATTCTTTGAACATTGCACATTGAATCAGATTCAAATTACTAATCTCTTTGAAAAATGTGGCTTACGTTGTAAAATTTTCTAAAGACATCTGTACTTTTAAAGCAATTTTCTTTCTTATTCTTCAGCTTGAAGTGTTTTTGCAGACTGAACAAGAATTTCATTTAAAAGCTCAAACAAACTGGCAAAAATGTATTACACTGGAAAAAAACTTGACTTCATGTATTTCTAGGACTGAAAAGCGCATATCCTGAGCTCTAGCTTTTTGTCTGCACACGATTAGCAGTGAATGTTTGTGGTGTCAGCTCTTCTCTGATCTACTGACATTTCAAAGAAACTCAATGTAGAGACAGAAGCATCATCCTGGAAACAGGAGCCGCATGCTCCTATTGGCCAGATAAATGATGAAGGCATCAAATTTAATCCTACTCTAAATTATACCTGTTTAAAACAAGGTTAGCACTGATTTTCTTAAATACACCCAGATCTATGATTTCCCATGAAAAGTCTGCAGTGAGCATAGTAAGTTTTGGACTGCAAATGTTGTAGAAAGGAAGGAGCAGACAGAGACAGTGGTTTTTTTCCTGAATGCATACTTTGGGTGGAAAATAATATTTCTTCCATGGGTGATCGCTTCCAGAAAGAAAAAGAACCTGTTCAAGTTAAAACACATTTCTTAGATTCATTAACCTATTTTTTTCTTTAAGTATTTAATTCCCTCAACAGTTTCCAACTTTTTTAGAATTAAAAAAAACGAAAGAAATCCAGCAGGCCCCATTTTAATTATAACCCAACAATTTATTATTAGAACAGTAATGAAGTTTCTGAAATTTGATTTCTTAATCAGGGATCATTGTTATTTTTGTGCCAGATTTAAGAGTTTAATTTTGGGTGCTTCTTCCCAACCTCTGAAATTTTAATCAGAAGTTTCAAGTGTACATGTCAATGAGAAGTTAAAGGCCAAATTTAATAACATTTTCTACCTTGGGAAATTAAAAGAAGAACCTCACTCTCTGAAATCCATTATTAACAGTAGATCTTAATTAAACACAGTTATAGTCCTCAATATTTGTGTGTGTGAAGAGATTGGATTCAGTATTTTTCCCTTTTTCGGATTCAACAAGTCCAGGATATTCGATAGTTAGACTTTTAACTACATGTAAATAAGTTGTTTACTGCAGTGTATTTATAATTTTTAATTAAAGCAACGTTGTTCTCTGGTTTCATGGTTTATCATGGCAATATATTTTTATTACCTAGTGTGCCCTTGGATTTTAAATTATTTATGTAAATATATTATTGCAGTATTTATTCTCCATAAGCAATGTGACTCAGTGCTTTAGAAACATCGTCACAAGAAAAGTTTATTATAGCTCTATAGCATATCTAATTCATTAAGTAGAATTAAAATGCGCTGTTTGAAGCTGGAGAACGTAGAAATGGAACCCAAACTGCAGTGAATTTCATGACAATATGAAAGACTGCAAAAAATATCTGAAGCAATATATGCAAATAAGATATATATATTTATTTTTGTGTGTCTCTGTGTGTGCACACTTTTTTTATCTGCAGCTGAAGTCAGCTGACCCCACACAGTAGAAGTGGTTTCTGGAAGTGTAGGTACCTTGTCTTAGTGGTGAAGTCTCAACTGTAGAAATTTGAAAGTCAGTTTTTTGCTTGGAAGCTGACATCCTTTTATTTGATTCTGGTCTCCTTGTATCTCCATGTCATTAATTTAGTGAAATTACATAAATACGAAACCAGTAACTCTCCGTTTGTTTGAGTTTATCACTCCACGTTAGAATAGCCTGTGATGGATCCAGATGCCTGTTAACCCACAGCCTGGACATTTGACTGCCATAGCACTGCCTTGTAGTGGCTGCGTGTTTGATAGCTCTGCTAGTCTGGAAATGGGAAAAAAAAAAGTCAAATTTACCATTATCATAATTTCCAGAAAACAGCTATTGGTTTGTCTATTTCTCTTTCCATAAAGTGCATTTTTCTGTGCTTCAAACTAAGTGTATATGTTACTGAGGCTCATCATTGAACATCAGACCATAGGGATGATAAGGCTGAACCTAACAGACACTGCATTAAAAGTGGTCATGTTTGTTTATTTGTCATTGCACCAAGAGCCACGGGACAATGGACTGCCCATTGGGAATAGGAAATTTTACTATTGGGCCACATTTTGCTTTAGAGTTCATCATCATAACTCTGGGTTCAGCGCCTATGGAGTTGGTGGATGTCAGTGGAAATGTCCCAAACCCTTACTGGTGGCAACCATGTTCTGCACGCTCTTTGTCAAAAAAAAAAAAATGATTGCCTAGAATTCTGTAAAATAGTGCTGAAACTACACTGAAGTGTCATCTATGGTTTAGTGAGTTTCTTCCAAATCCCAAATACTTGAGAAAGCTAAAGAGAGTTCACTGTTACTTCTCTTTGCTGCCAATCACCACCCTTACATGTAGTGAATATATAAGCCATGAATTGCAATGGCAATTCAAAAAGCCTTTGTCTCTTGCCAGGATTTTTTCAGAGACCCTGAAGCCCATCTAAACAAGGATGAGGCTTCAAATCACATATTTCACCAGCACTTAAGGGATCAATTTTGCATACTTTGTTGCCTGTCAAGCCTTTTTAAAGCACTTTTGTTGCAGCAGAGGTCAATAATCTTGCTTTTTGGGGATACACTACAGTCACTTACAGAACTACTATATAATGAGAGAGGGATAGAGTCTTAAAGAGTGAATGCTTATGAAGTAACACACTTAGTCATTGTTAAATATGTCTCCTAGAATCTGAAGGACTTGTCTTTTATTCCTAACAACAGGAGATTTGTTTTCCTTGTGCAGACAGAAGAATAGTTGTATTGTTATAAATGAATGGCTGAGCCATGCTCTCAGCATGCAGCGCCAGAATTTTTCACTCTAAGTTACACCCAAGAGCATCTCAAGTTGGCTCTGCAATTTTATTTATGGCCTGCCTGAACCCAACCATTGGGAATTTGTAGTACATCTCTAGATCTGAAGTTGCTGTATATTGGACAGTGCACATTCTGGTTTTTTTTTTTTCCTTTCTCTCTTTTTAAGTTAGAAGGAAAGACAGGTAGAAAGGCAAGTGGCTCAAAGCAAAAAGTGTTGCCTCTTCTGTCTTTGCTGCAAAATTTTGAAACACAGAAACACTCACTCTAGAGAGTGGCATGTATTGGGGTATCCAGCAAGCAATGCTGGAAAAGAAGAGATTCAATCAGTTCTGGAAGAGGGAACTTGGCCAATTCTCTCATGCTACACAACTACCACCTATAGTTGTAGGTACTCATTAGTCAACTGTTAGTTTGACAGAATTCTACACAATAATTCTGCACAATCCTTTTGTTTCTTGAATGTATTAATACTATCTATGTAGGCAATCACTGTGAAACACATATATAGGTTACTGTCATGATATTAACAACTGAAGGGAAAAAATAATGAAAAATACATTCTTTTTTTTTTTCAGTTATTTCTTTATTCTCTTCCTATACCCGTGATCACACTGATGTAACTCTAGCAGGGTGATATTGGCTTAAGAGTAAAATTTGGCCCGATTTTTCCTTTCAGGAGATGGTTTGTAGCTCATTGGCACTTTGCAGATGTGTCACTGAGTCTAAATTAATGTGGAGGAAGCCACTGGTTAAAAAAAAACAACAAACAAACAAAAAAACCACCACCACCTCACAATGTTTGTCTCTGAAGTCTCTGGTAGGAGCTGCTGAGATGAGACTGAAAAGAATAAATGACTGGAGCAAAATTCCAGGGCTGAGAGAATTAAAACATCTGCCAAATCTGGAAGCCAGGTCCTATAAAAGCTGTGGACAGCATCTCATGCTGACTATTCAGGAAAGCTACTTGCAACCCTGTCAGCTTCAATTTCAGAGCTATACTATTACAGGACCTTCCCTTCCTCAGAGTAGTGAACAGATGTTGACTGTCTGCTTCCCAAAGCTTGTCACTCGCCCCTTCTCTTTCTCGTAGGCATTGCTTGGCTTGCTTAATTCACAACATGCCTG